CGGATGGCAGCTGCCCAGCCGCCCAGGGCCGCCCGAGGCTCAGGTAACCAGGGCCGGCCGAGGCTTGTGCTGCCGGCAGTGGCAGCAACAGAGGGGTGATGGGGGCGTCGCCTTCCCCTGATCACCAGGTTGCCTCCCGCCCCTGAGGGCTCCTGTACTGCAAGAGGGGGCAGGCTGGGCTGAGGGACCCCTCCTCCAGTGCATGAATTTTCATGCCCCGGGCCTCTAGTTTATATATAAAAATAAAGTATTGAAGGTAATGTTTATCATTGTAGTCATTAGAATGGTTTTATTATTTTCTGCTGATTACCAGACAACAGAGTTTGCTCTTCAAGACCAATAGAATAAATTTTCTAAAGTGTTCTATAGGGCCCTTACCTGTAGTGTCTTGATACTTTCGAACAACTAGTTTGTACCATACTCCTATTACTTCCTCAAAATGCCCTCTCCTATTGTTTATTTTCCCTGGTTTTAATCTCCAAATTGTTTACTCTTCTAACTCTACTGAAATTTTCATTGCTGACTTTCCTTCTGCTGTATTCTACTTTTTAGATATTATCTGAGCTCACTAATATCTTCCTTCTTACAAAATGATCCTTCTACATTGGTGATGTCATTGAATCATTGTTTCCCCCTGTCCCAACTAACAACCACACACCCATGCACCTGCACCCAGTCAGTTTTTTGTAGTGGTCTCTTGTAGAAATGACATACTATTTCACATCACTACTCCCTTTCAGATTTTATACCTCTTTTTTCCCCCTCCTAATTGTGATGGATAGCATCCCTAGTACAACATTAGTTTGGTATAATGTACACGTATGCCTTATTCCTAAATATTTTTTTTGCCAAAAAAGTGTAATGACCTACATTAAAGAATATATATAATGTGTATAGTCCTATCATTGAATATAAGATATCGCTGATTGTAAAGTACAACTCCATTTTACAGACTAATAAGAAAAAAATTATTTATTATAGATAACATCAATTATAAGATAAATTACTATTTCATACATGTTAAAATATGAAGAAAAATGTAACGGTCAATGAGATGTGGCATGTCTTAGTAGATCCTGTTTTTAGTCTTACTAATTTTTTTGTTAAAATTTCCATGTATTCTTGTTTGCTTGATAAACTTTTTAAATTTTTTTACTTTCATAGTTTTTGTGAGCTGTTTCTAAGTTACTTTATGCTTCATTGCATATATGGTGCCAATTAAGAAATTATTTTTTCTTGGTCTAATTTTTTCTAATTGTTTAATGTCTTTATTATCTTGATTATCTCTACTCTACTTTCAAATTCCCACCATGGCACAAAGATTCAGCATCATTTGAATATTTGAGATGGGAAATGTTTTTTCTTTTTTTCAAAAAGAACACGCTATACTGAAAATTTCTCAACTCTTCTCCTGCCACACAGAATTACATGTTAGCTCTATGCATAACTAACTTCCAGGTAGGGTGTGTCATAATGTAATATAGTCCTCTGACCCTGTTTTGTCAGTTCACTTTATACAATCTTCCTCATCTCATATACTTAAAAAAATTATTTTAAAATTATAGTTGACATATGATATTTTATTAGCATCGGATACACTTTTGAAGCCTGGGTTTATTTTGCCTTAGCCTCTGTTTTTTTCTTCTCTAAAACTAAATAAACACACAAAAATTACTTTTTGGTTTACTATTCCCTTATATTTCCCAGCCCCCTATTACTTCACTTTCTCATTGTCTCTAGAAGAATGACTTAAAAATCAAGTTTAATTTGAGAGAATATGTATGTTGAGGTGGGGTGGAGTAGAGAGCCATAAGTTAGGGTATATTAGTATTTTGCATACCTTAAAACTCTCAGTTGGAAGAAATGTCACTGTTTTTTTATTTGAAGGAAGATAAACTCCTTGTATCCTTGAGGCCTACAACTCAGGGTCAGCATTCAATAATTGTTAAATCTGAATTGTCTTTTCCAGGATGTGGGGGGGGGGGGGGGGGGGGGGGGGGGAGAAGGGAGAGCTGAGGGGTAGAGGGGATGTCCAGGAAACCAGAAAAATAAAAGGAATTATAAAAACGGGTTTTTCTACCAATTAAAACATTTTAAGGGACTCAAGCCATATGTAAATAATGTAAAATAATAATAGAATAATGCTTTGTTTGTAAATGTTAATTTAGTTTCTAATGTAATAGACTATCCAGGAAGTACTGTTTGGCTAGTCTTTACTCATAGATGATACTGAAATGTAATTAAACTGATTGAAATTATTATCAAAAACTCTTGGGGTTTATAGATTTTAGGGATGAAGTTCTATGAACTCCTGAACTTGTATGTAAAATTTGGCCATTGGGCACAGTTGTTTTGTTTGTTTGGTAGGGAGCAGATCCATAGCTTTCAGCAAAATCTCAAAGAAGTTAATAACTCCAAAGATATCAATCCACTTATGTAGAGTTCTAGGTCAGCACTATTTCTCTTTTATCTCCTTTCCATAGTGATCTTGAGTATAAATCATGAAACCCCAGAGTATTTTGAAAATCAAAACAAAGAAAATTTGATCTTGAGTTTTTACTTTGAAAATGGTAGTGTTGTTCAAGTAGTATATTTAAAACAATATACTGCACATGAACAACCCTAGGAATTCACTTGTAGGAAATAGTATAAATGAAGATGCTGTTATATGCACAGAAAAAGGCATTAGAAAACTATGGATCCATATATGTTGAAAAAAATGTGAAGGATTAGAAATATGTTTTTATTTTGAACATAGTACTTTCATAATTGTGATTTAGATTATTTTTTAAAGAGAAGTATATTTACTGGAAATAAATGTTGCCTTGTATATGTATATATGTGTGTATGTATATGGATATATGTGTGTGTGTGTATAGGAATTACTTTTTAAAAAAATTTTTACTAGAGGCCCAGTGCACGAAATTCATGCACGGGTAGGGTCCCTAGGCCTGGGCGGCGATCAGGGCCGATCTGTGGGGTGACTGGCGGGGTGATTGGGGCCCCACTTGCACCCACCTTGGCTGGTCTGGTGCCATCCACTCGCCGGCCCCGGACCCCGGCACTGCCGCCATTTGGGGCCTACAGGCAGCTCCTGCGTTGAGCGTTTGCCCCGTGGTGGTCAGTGTGCATCATAGCGACTGTCGTTTTGCTGTTTGGTCCATTTGCATATTAGGGTTTTATATAGATAGATTTATTTCAGAGAGGAAGGTAGAGGGAGAGAGAGATAGAAACATCAATGATGAGAGGGAATAATTGATTGGCTGCCTCCTGCACGTCTGACACTGAGGGCAAGCCTGCAACCTGGGTATGTGCCCTGACTGGGAATTGAACCATGACCTCCTGGTTCATAGGTTGACACTCATCCACTAAGCCACACTGGCCAGGCAGGAATTACTTTTAAATGCTCGTGTGAATAATGCAAATACTTGATTTTTGTTTTTATTATAGTGCATGCAGGATATGGGAAATACTAAAGCAAGACTACTCTATGAAGCCAATCTTCCAGAGAACTTTCGAAGACCACAGACAGATCAGTATCCTTTAATACTTCTTTATTGTGGGTTTGTAAAGAATGAACTTATTTTTATAGTTCATATTTAACTGTGCTGAGGAAGATGTGGAAGATGTGAACTTTATCATACTGTTGCTCATTAAAAATAAAATACTTGCTTTGTCCTGGGCTGTGCTTTATATGTAGTAAATTTTGGTAGGAATCTGGTAATACATGATCTATGTAGTATTTTTATGTAATTATTACTAAGTATAAAATATTATACCTTTTCTTCTTGATTGATCTCTATTTCTTTTATTTTTCATTAAAATTTTATTTATTTATTTATTCTGAGGGGGTGGGGAGAAAGAAGGATCAATTTGTTGTTCCACTTATTTAAATGGTTGCTTCTTGTATTTACCCTGACTGGAGATCAAACTGTAACCTTGGCATATTGGGCCAATGTTCTAAGCAACAGCGCTTCCTGGACAGGGCTGTGATTTTCACCTCTTGATTGGAGAGTTTATTTTAGACCAGTGATGGCGAACCTATGGCACGCGTGTCAGAGGTGACACGCGAACTCATTTTTTTGGTTGATTTTTCTTTGTTAAATAGCATTTAAATATATAAAATAAATATCAAAAATATAAATCTTTGTTTTACTATGGTTGCAAAGATCAAAAAATTTCTATATGTGACACAGCACCAGAGTTAAGTTAGGGTTTTTCAAAATGCTGACACGCCGAGCTCAAAAGGTTCGCCATCACTGTTTTAGACTGTTTATTAGAGATTTATTTGTTTATATCGTGAATATTTAAAAAAATCTTTTCCAAAGGGATTTTTTTTGATCACCTTTATATTGTAATTATATTTATGTGAAGTAGTTTGGCATGTATACATTTAAATGGCAAATTACATATTTAGTGTAAGTGGAGTACTGAAGTAATTTATGCTGATATTCACTACTGACATTCCATATTTGCATAGGTTGCACAACTGTGTTTACTTTACAAATCTGTTCTAATGAATGAATAGAATATTTTCTCAAAGGCATTTTAATTAGGATGTTTTCACAGTTGCTAAAGATAAACTTTTGATTCTGTAGGATTTCTTAAACTCATATTGAAGTTTGAGAAAGCAACATCAAAGTTGTGCTGCTCTATAAATATTAATATCTAATTCATTGTAGGTATTTGTGATTCTATCCATAGGTGATATTTGCAGTAAAATATAGTTTCTTAAAAATGAGTTATATATTAGTTATATGTTATCCACTTGTGTACCAAAACAGTTTGTATGGTCAAACAGTGAAAAAAAAAGATGATCTTTTCACACATGAGATACAAGTCATTATATATATATTTTCATATTTATGTAGAAATCCTTTAAGTTATATTAAAAAAAATTAGTATTTGTATTTGACTTCTTCTGTTTCTGCTTCCCCACTTCCTTCCCACAAATTTAGCAATCTGGTATCCAAGGCTATTTTTATTATAGCAAGATTCTAGGGTAAGAATGGGAGGTACATTTCAGACATAAAAATTGTATGAGAAGTATTAAAGTGTGAAGAAACATAACATTTTAAGGTTTTGATGTGACAAGATTTGCTTTGTGGGTTAAGTGGCAGTAGAAGCTTATTTTCCAAATTATGAAGAATTTTTAATGCTATATAGAGCAGTTTAGACCTCATTTCATTGGCCTAAACGGGTTGAAGGATTTGAAAAACCTCGAAGGATTTTGAAGCAGGAGAAACATTGAAAACATTAACTTCTCCACAAGGAAGATTAGTTGAAGGAGATCTTGGAGTCAGAGAGACCATGTAGAATACTTAGTATAGCCCTGAAGTGAGTAATAACAAGATATAAATTAAATAGTGACATTGAAAATGGAGAGCAGGCAATTGGAAAGATTCGAAGGAAATTTGGGAGTAGGAACAGTTGGGTTAGGTTTAGATTGGCTTTGTTTCTGAGAAAAATACTGAGATGACCCCAGATCTTCTAGGTTGGCTAAGGTTCTGTGAAATTCAGTGGAGAGAAGGAATTCAGTACCAATGAAAGTTTAAGGGTTCGAAATGAAAGATAATGAGCCGTGCTTTATTACTTTGGGCAGGTTGAGGTGTGTGTTGGACACATACTTAGAGATACCCATTTAGTAACTGGAAACATTAGTCTGCACCCTAGAAGAAGAATGCTTATTTGATTTTTCAAATTAAATGTGATTACTTCTAAAGCATTTACAAATTATGGTCATATTTGTATGAGGTGTTGACCTCTTATTGTTCACAGTATGTATGTTCTTTTTTCTTCTTCCCATTTGTGGAGATAAAAGTTGTCTCTACAATGAAAATTGCTCAGTTCATCCACAAAGGGCCAGCTTTTTTGATCGTTTCATCTTTTTTTTGTTAGAAAAACATAATATAAATTTAGATTTATAATTATGACAAAACTTAACATTTAGCTGATACACATGTAAAACAATTTATGTAAATATAACATTGCATTTTATGAAAATCTTGGCACACTTGTTAATTTTTGGTATAAAATTGGCTGCCAAAATGCTCATATACCTAAATAAGCAGTCTTTTAGCAACCCCGGCACTTTACACTTGAAAGGGTCGCCAAGGCTACTTTGAAAATAAAGGTGCCCTTCAAATTGACATTCTTCTTTAGATTTTAAAGCATGTATTATCATTACCAGAAATTAACAGACTGATTCACAAATGAACTTGTGTTGACCAATAACATTCTGAAAAGGTGGATATCAGACATTCCTAGTTTTGAATCACAACTCTCCTTTGTATTGTACTAGTAGAATCCCAGAGAACTTCTAAAACTTTCTGTGCCCCAGTTTTAGATGTAAATGGCACTTACCTTATAGGTTAAGAGGAGAAAAAAAAGATGATGTAAAGTGCCTTTGACATAGGTTGTAGAAAACTATCTTTAAAAGTCAGCTTCAGTCATTTTGCTTATTTTAATAAATTGAATGTTTAGATTTCCTGTCTTGCCATTATGAAAGGCCTTTGAGTGCTTTCATAATGCCTCAACTCTTTTATATCCTCTGAGTAGTGATCTGTCAACTCTTTCTATTATCTATTGCCTCAACTGTCAGTTTTTGAAAGGCTTTTGTTAACTTCTAATATGGAGTTATTTATTGACTGAAATATATTGTTTTACTGCTTTAGGTAACTTTTCTTTTGAACAGAAGATTGTCTTAACCTGGGGATCCACAGAGATTGTATTTCAGAGTGATTCATTTCCTTCATAAGTATATGTATTTTATTTTATGCATTAAGAGTCACAGAAAGGAGTCCACAGGTTTTACCTGTGGGGTTCATGGTACTAAAAAGGTTAAGAATCCTTGATGGAAGAATTTCCATTTAGTGATAAAGCAGTAATTGAGTGGCAAGAAAAGTCATCAATATCAGATAACCCCCAATTCTCAAATCCCACTAGAAGTGGCTCACTCCATCAACAGGAAAGGCTAATTTAGCCACCTTCAAAAACATTAAATAGCAGTAATCTTGGCTTTAGCTTCTTGACTTCTCCCCCATTTCTCAGATTTGGAGGAGAAAAAAAATTGGCCACCACTTAGAGGCAGCATGTATATTAGGAAAAAATATAAGTAGTACAGTCTCAATCGTTTGATATTTCCAAGTTCCTGATTCTTCATCTATGATGTGAAAATAATAATATACACATTACTGGGCTGTGGAAGGATTAAAGGAAAGAAACTATGGACAACACACAATGTCTGGTATACTGTGGGTACTGATTAGTTTCTTTATACTGAAAATCCAAAATGAACCTTAATTGAGTTTAGAGTTTGGTGAAGATGGAGTTGAGCTTAGGAATATCATGGAATTGATAAATACAGTTACTTTCCTTTCTAGAATTGGGTTGAGTGGTTTTGTTGGTTGGGGGAAATTTCTTGAAAGAGACCAACTTTTTTGGTAGAAAGAAAAGTAGATTATAGAGTTTAGTTATAGAAATAGTGTGAGAGGAAAACATGGACTGAGGAGTAGGAAAAATGAATTTAGAATTTAAACTTTGTGGAGAGGAATGAATCAAAGGGCGTGTACATGCCACTGAGCTCATGCTTTTCCTTAAGTTATTTGTTTTCAGAGCAGTGGAATTTTTCATCAGAGATAAATACGAAAAGAAGAAATACTATGATAAAAATGCTATAGCTGTTACAAATGTAAGTAAAATCTTCATCTGTCACTAATTTAAGTTTGTTCCATAGATCTTGAACTTTAACATATAATACCACTCAATTTATTCATTGTAAAAATATACTAGTTATATACTTTGTCAAATTTGTATATTGGAATTTTTTGTCAAATATGTTAATGAGCTCTCCTAGAGCAGAACTCTTGATTTAGAAAGGAGCATATTCTAAGAGTCTAATAACTGCCTAAATGGCGTTTAATTAAGTTAATTTTATGAAATTTATAAAAAAAAAGATAAGGCCAATAATGGAACAAAGGGGGAGAGGAAATTATTTTACTACATTGTGGAAATTTGTGTAAAATAAAAAGGTCAATTTATCCTCTCCTAATGGCTTTAGTGAACCTGTTAATTGGTTATTATCAAGCCTTTTGATAGCTAATAGTTGAACCTTACTATAGTGATCAAATATGATTTATCACTGTTTTTTTAAATGTTTTTTTTTCCTGATTATATTTTCCCATTCCAGTTAGTTATAATTTAAGACTAATTCTCTTTATTGATGCAATCATTTTTTTGGCCTTTGATTTTTAGATTAATAAGCAAGCTATAAGTTAGTTAAACTTGTGGTTAAGTCTGGAAAGCAATTTAGAGACAATGATTTCATCTCATTTTACATGCAAACTGGGTTTTTCTTTTCAGTCCATAAGGAGAAGCAATATTCTAAAAAATTTAATCAAATACTAACAAAATAAGGATATTTTAATATATTCTCTTTGACCATGAAAAAATCTTGTTAAAAAATGTTCTAACATATTGTCAATGTGTATTTTTGAGCAAAGATACCCTGTGTGTAGAGTTTGGGCTGCATTTACAATGAATGTAGGAGAGGAAATCTTTTGAAAGATTGACAAAAATTGACAAACTTGAGAATGACAATTATAATGTGATAACTAACTAAGTTTAGTTATAGCATTATGGGGAAAAGGGACTAACTTTAAAGCAAGTAATATGTTTTCATGTGAAATTTTAAGAAATCCTTTTAGCATGTTTTATAAAATACCAAAGGCCCGGTGCACGAAATTTGTGCACTGGGGGGGGGGGGTGTGGGGGGCCC